ACTGACGTGAGAAAAATGTATTCAGTTTATCTACTAATTTTTTTTTTTGCGTTTTGAATCTTTTTTACTATGTTGTAATCAACCAATGGTTCAACTTTTAATGCACTTGTATTTAGTGATTGTATTTTTAGTTGCTGTATTTCAAATTCGGACAAAAGTGTTTTAAGAATCTGCAATGGAATTTCCAGTTATATGTACTCCGTTTTGGATTCTTCGGTTTGGTATAAATATATACCTGATTGGTAAGATTATTGTAAATGTTGTCATTTCATTATGTATTTATTAATTCTATGTTCGTTGCGATGCCTGACTATCGAAAGCTACGGGAAGGGGCGTAGCACAGCTGATATCGCTAATAGTTTATCCCGAACAAGTCGGCAGGCAACGTTCATGCTAAAAACTCTACAAAATACTAGATACTAAAGATACTAGATTCTATAATATACTATATTAAGAAAGCTCGAAATACCAATGAGAGTTGTTATACAAATCGGAAAATATCTATGTCCATATTTCTCGCAGTCTTGTAAAAAACCTTTATAAGTACACTTGTGTTTAAGAAAGGTTACTTCGTGGGTGCCGTTTAAGGTTGTGCTCCCTGCATAAATAAAAAAAAAGCTGCTTAAGTTATTGATCATATATTTTTCTGAACATCCGATGACAATTAGGTCATTCACATACAAGAAAGCCTGGGAAGGTTCAATACCAGAAAAATGAATTTTTTGAACTGACGTGAGACGTGACGTGACGTGACGTCATCATTCTGTAATATAAGGAAGTCGCGTGAAGCGATAGAAGCCATTGCTCTTAGAAAGGGAAGTTACATATTTTGATATAAGTTCTACTTGATAAAATACTGACATCAGAAAAGCTCTACCCAATTGGTCGGGAATGTCGTCTATTTTTGGTAGTCCAAATTTGTTACTTAACACCGTCTTTTGGTATCTTAATTTGGTAATGATTTTTTCTGTACCATATAATATACTGTTATATTCATTCATTCGGTTGTAAAAATTATTAGTTGATATCGACTCGGTTTCTGTTTCGAATATAAAACTGTAAGCAAAAAGTAAAAAGAATTTGCAATTTAAAGTTCGCGGGCCTAACGTTTCTGGCTAGTTCTGTTTTTCTTGAGTTGGCAGGACTGTTATGGGCCAACTAGGCCAAATTATATGTCAATGTCATTATCAGTTATATATTAACGCTTGTGTTTACAAACGACCAAAAGTATATTTCTCGACCTTTCAACCGAATGCGCTCAATTTCTTGAAAAAAAAATTAGTTGCGTTGATGTGTTTAAACATTGCTTTCTGACTATCCCCTTTAGTTCTGGAGTAGGCTCGGGGTGACATGTCAGAAGGCAAAAGCTTTTTGTTTTTTTTTGTGCCTAAAACGCTATGCCGCTGTTGACGACCGTAGAAGACTGCCGACGAAAACGGTCGGGCAACAGAGAGGCAGATATTCGGAGGTTCCCTCTCTTTCTTTGTCTTATAATCTGCCTGCACTCGGCGCTCTCAGAGACAAATTTTGGTCGGTTCGTTATTTTATGCTCGGCTAGCGACTAACATTTCGGCCGAAAAATTTCGTGGAGCAGCAACATGTGAATGCCCTAATATTTTAGTAGCATTATTGTACTTCGGTAAAAAAAAATGAACTAATATTGTTTTATTGGATATAAAGTAAATTATTTGATTATAGTAAAATTAAGGAAATTGAATTTACTGTTATGTTAATAATGTAATGTAATGTTATGTTTACGGATATTATACATTACAATATAATTTTTGGGTTTAGTTATAGAATTTAGAATTTTATAGATTTTATAGAATTTAGTCCGTTAAAATGTATTTCAAAACTTAAAAAATGAATATTGTATTTTTTACTCAAGAAGTAAAAATTATATAGTCGGATATTTTTCGCTTTTGAGGGGGTATAAGTGCTGTGGCACGCACTTTATTTTCGGAACTGAAGTGTTTTTTTTCGATTCCTTCCAATCGGTCAAACTGTTAACAAGGAATATTATTCGTCTAAAAAGACCAGAATTATTGGCCAACAACTTTTGGTTGTTGTTGTTTTACGATTATGCACCCTCTCACTCTGCACTCGTTCTTCGTGACGATTTCGCAAAAAATTCAACGCATATCGATCCGCACATTATTCGCCTGATTTGGTTCCGTGTGACTTCTGCCTATTCCCAAAGGCGTTCCGGGGAACCCGTTTCGAGTCGATTAAGGAGGTAAAAGCTGAATCGAAGAAGGCGCTGATGGCTATACCAGAAAGGGACTACTTGCCATGTTTCGAGGATTTAAGAAACGTTGGCATAAGTGTATTTTATCGGGAGGGGATTACGTTTAAGGGGATAACATTGTTTTAGAAGAACAAATAAAGGTTTTTTTAGTTGACAAACAAATGCGACATATTTTTTTCCCACAATATTTGGCGCATAATTTTTAATGAATTTTTTGAACTGACGTGAGAAAAATGTATTCAGTTTATCTAATAATTTTTTTTTTGCGTTTTGAATCTTTTTTACTATGTTGTAATCAACCAATGGTTCAACTTTTAATGCACTTGTATTTAGTGATTGTATTTTTAGTTGCTGTATTTCAAATTCGGACAAAAGTGTTTTAAGAATCTGCAATGGAATTTCCAGTTATATGTACTCCGTTTGGTATAAATATATACCTGATTGGTAAGATTATTGTAAATGTTGTCATTTCATTATGTATTTATTAATTCTATGTTCTTTGCGATGCCTGACTATCGAAAGCTACGAGAAGGGGCGTAGCACAGCTGATATCGCTAATAGTTTATCCCGAACAAGTCGGCAGGCAACGTTCATGCTAAAAACTCTACAAAATACTAGATACTAAAGATACTAGATTCTATAATATACTATATTAAGAAAGCTCGAAATACCAATGAGAGTTGTTATACAAATCGGAAAATATCTATGTCCATATTTCTTGCAGTCTTGTAAAAAACCTTTATAAGTACACTTGTGTTTAAGAAAGGTTACTTCGTGGGTGCCGTTTAAGGTTGTGCTCCCTGCATAAATAAAAAAAAAGCTTCTTAAGTTATTGATCATATATTTTTCTGAACATCCGATGACAATTAGGTCATTCACATACAAGAAAGCCTGGGAAGGTTCAATACCAGAAAAATCTAATTGTCATCATTCTGTAATATAAGGAAGTCGCGTGAAGCGATAGAAGCCATTGCTCTTAGAAAGGGAAGTTACATATTTTGATATAAGTTCTACTTGATAAAATACTGACATCAGAAAAGCTCTACCCAATTGGTCGGGAATGTCGTCTATTTTTGGTAGTCGAAATTTGTTACTTAACACCGTCTTTTGGTATCATAATTTGGTAATGATTTTTTCTGTACCATATAATATACTGTTATATTCATTCATTCGGTTGTAAAAATTATTAGATGATATCGACTCGGTTTCTGTTTCGAATATAAAACTGTAAGCAAAAAGTAAAAAGAATTTGCAATTTAAAGTTCGCGGGCCTAACGTTTCTGGCTAGTTCTGTTTTTCTTGAGTTGGCAGGACTGTTATGGGCCATCTAGGCCAAATTATATGTCAATGTCATTATCAGTTATATATTAACGCTTGTGTTTACAAACGACCAAAAGTATATTTCTCGACCTTTCAACCGAATGCGCTCAATTTCTTGAAAAAAAAAAATTAGTTGCGTTGATGTGTTTAAACATTGCTTTCTGACTATCCCCTTTAGTTCTGGAGTAGGCTCGGGGTGACATGTCAGAAGGCAAAAGCTTTTTGTTTTTTTTTGTGCCTAAAACGCTATGCCGCTGTTGACGACTGTAGAAGACTGCCGACGAAAACGGTCGGGCAACAGAGAGGCAGATATTCGGAGGTTCCCTCTCTTTCTTTGTCTTATAATCTGCCTGCACTCGGCGCTCTCAGAGACAAATTTTGGTCGGTTCGTTATTTTATGCTCGGCTAGCGACTAACATTTCGGCCGAAAAATTTCGTGGAGCAGCAACATGTGAATGCCCTAATATTTTAGTAGCATTATTGTACTTCGGTAAAAAAAAATGAACTAATATTGTTTTATTGGATATAAAGTAAATTATTTGATTATAGTAAAATTAAGGAAATTGAATTTACTGTTATGTTAATAATGTAATGTAATGTTATGTTTACGGATATTATACATTACAATATAATTTTTGGGTTTAGTTATAGAATTTAGAATTTTATAGATTTTATAGAATTTAGTCCGTTAAAATGTATTTCAAAACTTAAAAAATGAATATTGTATTTTTTACTCAAGAAGTAAAAATTATATAGTCGGATATTTTTCGCTTTTGAAAGGGTATAAGTGCTGTGGCACGCACTTTATTTTCGGAACTGAAGTGTTTTTTTTCGATTCCTTCCAATCGGTCAAACTGTTAACAAGGAATATTATTCGTCTAAAAAGACCAGAATTATTGGCCAACAACTTTTGGTTGTTGTTGTTTTACGATTATGCACCCTCTCACTCTGCACTCGTTCTTCGTGACGATTTCGCAAAAAATTCAACGCATATCGATCCGCACATTATTCGCCTGATTTGGTTCCGTGTGACTTCTGCCTATTCCCAAAGGCGTTCCGGGGAACCCGTTTCGAGTCGATTAAGGAGGTAAAAGCTGAATCGAAGAAGGCGCTGATGGCTATACCAGAAAGGGACTACTTGCCATGTTTCGAGGATTTAAGAAACGTTGGCATAAGTGTATTTTATCGAGAGGGGATTACGTTTAAGGGGATAACATTGTTTTAGAAGAACAAATAAAGGTTTTTTTAGTTGACAAACAAATGCGACATATTTTTTTCCCACAATATTTGGCGCATAATTTTTAATGAATTTTTTGAACTGACGTGAGAAAAATGTATTCAGTTTATCTACTAATTTTTTTTTTGCGTTTTGAATCTTTTTTACTATGTTGTAATCAACCAATGGTTCAACTTTTAATGCACTTGTATTTAGTGATTGTATTTTTAGTTGCTGTGTTTCAAATTCGGACAAAAGTGTTTTAAAAATCTGCAATGGAATTTCCAGTTATATGTACTCCGTTTTGGATTCTTCGGTTTGGTATAAATATATACCTGATTGGTAAGATTATTGTAAATGTTGTCATTTCATTATGTATTTATTAATTCTATGTTCGTTGCGATGCCTGACTATCGAAAGCTACGAGAAGGGGCGTAGCACAGCTGATATCGCTAATAGTTTATCCCGAACAAGTCGGCAGGCAACGTTCATGCTAAAAACTCTACAAAATACGAGATACTAAAGATACTAGATTCTATAATATACTATATTAAGAAAGCTCGAAATACCAATGAGAGTTGTTATACAAATCGGAAAATATCTATGTCCATATTTCTTGCAGTCTTGTAGAAAACCTTTATAAGTACACTTGTGTTTAAGAAAGGTTACTTCGTGGGTGCCGTTTAAGGTTGTGCTCCCTGCATAAATAAAAAAAAAGCTTCTTAAGTTATTGATCATATATTTTTCTGAACATCCGATGACAATTAGGTCATTCACATACAAGAAAGCCTGGGAAGGTTCAATACCAGAAAAATCTAATTGTCATCATTCTGTAATATAAGGAAGTCGCGTGAAGCGATAGAAGCCATTGCTCTTAGAAAGGGAAGTTACATATTTTGATATAAGTTCTACTTGATAAAATACTGACATCAGAAAAGCTCTACCCAATTGGTCGGGAATGTCGTCTATTTTTGGTAGTCGAAATTTGTTACTTAACACCGTCTTTTGGTATCTTAATTTGGTAATGATTTTTTCTGTACCATATAATATACTGTTATATTCATTCATTCGGTTGTAAAAATTATTAGTTGATATCGACTCGGTTTCTGTTTCGAATAAGCAAAAAGTAAAAAGAATTTGCAATTTAAAGTTCGCGGGCCTAACGTTTCTGGCTAGTTCTGTTTTTCTTGAGTTGGCAGGACTGTTATGGGCCATCTAGGCCAAATTATATGTCAATGTCATTATCAGTTATATATTAACGCTTGTGTTTACAAACGACCAAAAGTATATTTCTCGACCTTTCAACCGAATGCGCTCAATTTCTTGAAAAAAAAAATTAGTTGCGTTGATGTGTTTAAACATTGCTTTCTGACTATCCCCTTTAGTTCTGGAGTAGGCTCGGGGTGACATGTCAGAAGGCAAAAGCTTTTTGTTTTTTTTTGTGCCTAAAACGCTATGCCGCTGTTGACGACTGTAGAAGACTGCCGACGAAAACGGTCGGGCAACAGAGAGGCAGATATTCGGAGGTTCCCTCTCTTTCTTTGTCTTATAATCTGCCTGCACTCGGCGCTCTCAGAGACAAATTTTGGTCGGTTCGTTATTTTATGCTCGGCTAGCGACTAACATTTCGGCCGAAAAATTTCGTGGAGCAGCAACATGTGAATGCCCTAATATTTTAGGAGCATTATTGTACTTCGGTAAAAAAAAATGAACTAATATTGTTTTATTGGATATAAAGTAAATTATTTGATTATAGTAAAATTAAGGAAATTGAATTTACTGTTATGTTAATAATGTAATGTAATGTTATGTTTACGGATATTATACATTACAATATAATTTTTGGGTTTAGTTATAGAATTTAGAATTTTATAGATTTTATAGAATTTAGTCCGTTAAAATGTATTTCAAAACTTAAAAAATGAATATTGTATTTTTTACTCAAGAAGTAAAAATTATATAGTCGGATATTTTTCGCTTTTGAAAGGGTATAAGTGCTGTGGCACGCACTTTATTTTCGGAACTGAAGTGTTTTTTTTCGATTCCTTCCAATCGGTCAAACTGTTAACAAGGAATATTATTCGTCTAAAAAGACCAGAATTATTGGCCAACAACTTTTGGTTGTTGTTGTTTTACGATTATGCACCCTCTCACTCTGCACTCGTTCTTCGTGACGATTTCGCAAAAAATTCAACGCATATCGATCCGCACATTATTCGCCTGATTTGGTTCCGTGTGACTTCTGCCTATTCCCAAAGGCGTTCCGGGGAACCCGTTTCGAGTCGATTAAGGAGGTAAAAGCTGAATCGAAGAAGGCGCTGATGGCTATACCAGAAAGGGACTACTTGCCATGTTTCGAGGATTTAAGAAACGTTGGCATAAGTGTATTTTATCGGGAGGGGATTACGTTTAAGGGGATAACATTGTTTTAGAAGAACAAATAAAGGTTTTTTTAGTTGACAAACAAATGCGACATATTTTTTTCCCACAATATTTGGCGCATAATTTTTAATGAATTTTTTGAACTGACGTGAGAAAAATGTATTCAGTTTATCTACTAATTTTTTTTTGCGTTTTGAATCTTTTTTACTATGTTGTAATCAACCAATGGTTCAACTTTTAATGCACTTGTATTTAGTGATTGTATTTTTAGTTGCTGTGTTTCAAATTCGGACAAAAGTGTTTTAAAAATCTGCAATGGAATTTCCAGTTATATGTACTCCGTTTTGGATTCTTCGGTTTGGTATAAATATATACCTGATTGGTAAGATTATTGTAAATGTTGTCATTTCATTATGTATTTATTAATTCTATGTTCGTTGCGATGCCTGACTATCGAAAGCTACGAGAAGGGGCGTAGCACAGCTGATATCGCTAATAGTTTATCCCGAACAAGTCGGCAGGCAACGTTCATGCTAAAAACTCTACAAAATACGAGATACTAAAGATACTAGATTCTATAATATACTATATTAAGAAAGCTCGAAATACCAATGAGAGTTGTTATACAAATCGGAAAATATCTATGTCCATATTTCTTGCAGTCTTGTAAAAAACCTTTATAAGTACACTTGTGTTTAAGAAAGGTTACTTCGTGGGTGCCGTTTAAGGTTGTGCTCCCTGCATAAATAAAAAAAAAGCTTCTTAAGTTATTGATCATATATTTTTCTGAACATCCGATGACAATTAGGTCATTCACATACAAGAAAGCCTGGGAAGGTTCAATACCAGAAAAATCTAATTGTCATCATTCTGTAATATAAGGAAGTCGCGTGAAGCGATAGAAGCCATTGCTCTTAGAAAGGGAAGTTACATATTTTGATATAAGTTCTACTTGATAAAATACTGACATCAGAAAAGCTCTACCCAATTGGTCGGGAATGTCGTCTATTTTTGGTAGTCGAAATTTGTTACTTAACACCGTCTTTTGGTATCTTAATTTGGTAATGATTTTTTCTGTACCATATAATATACTGTTATATTCATTCATTCGGTTGTAAAAATTATTAGATGATATCGACTCGGTTTCTGTTTCGAATATAAAACTGTAAGCAAAAAGTAAAAAGAATTTGCAATTTAAAGTTCGCGGGCCTAACGTTTCTGGCTAGTTCTCTTATTCTTGAGTTGGCAGGACTGTTATGGGCCAACTAGGCCAAATTATATGTCAATGTCATTATCAGTTATATATTAACGCTTGTGTTTACAAACGACCAAAAGTATATTTCTCGACCTTTCAACCGAAAGCGCTCAATTTCTTGAAAAAAAAAAATTAGTTGCGTTGATGTGTTTAAACATTGCTTTCTGACTATCCCCTTTAGTTCTGGAGTAGGCTCGGGGTGACATGTCAGAAGGCAAAAGCTTTTTGTTTTTTTTTGTGCCTAAAACGCTATGCCGCTGTTGACGACTGTAGAAGACTGCCGACGAAAACGGTCGGGCAACAGAGAGGCAGATATTCGGAGGTTCCCTCTCTTTCTTTGTCTTATAATCTGCCTGCACTCGGCGCTCTCAGAGACAAATTTTGGCCGGTTCGTTATTTTATGCTCGGCTAGCGACTAACATTTCGGCCGAAAAATTTCGTGGAGCAGCAACATGTGAATGCCCTAATATTTTAGGAGCATTATTGTACTTCGGTAAAAAAAATGAACTAATATTGTTTTATTGGATATAAAGTAAATTATTTGATTATAGTAAAATTAAGGAAATTGAATTTACTGTTATGTTAATAATGTAATGTAATGTTATGTTTACGGATATTATACATTACAATATAATTTTTGAATTTAGTTATAGAATTTAGAATTTTATAGATTTTATAGAATTTAGTCCGTTAAAATGTATTTCAAAACTTCAAAAATGAATATTGTATTTTTTACTCAAGAAGTAAAAATTATATAGTCGGATATTTTTCGCTTTTGAAAGGGTATAAGTGCTGTGGCACGCACTTTATTTTCGGAACTGAAGTGTTTTTTTTCGATTCCTTCCAATCGGTCAAACTGGTAACAAGGAATATTATTCGTCTAAAAAGACCAGAATTATTGGCCAACAACTTTTGGTTGTTGTTGTTTTACGATTATGCACCCTCTCACTCTGCACTCGTTCTTCGTGACGATTTCGCAAAAAATTCAACGCATATCGATCCGCACATTATTCGCCTGATTTGGTTCCGTGTGACTTCTGCCTATTCCCAAAGGCGTTCCGGGGAACCCGTTTCGAGTCGATTAAGGAGGTAAAAGCTGAATCGAAGAAGGCGCTGATGGCTATACCAGAAAGGGACTACTTGCCATGTTTCGAGGATTTAAGAAACGTTGGCATAAGTGTATTTTATCGGGAGGGGATTACGTTTAAGGGGATTTTAGAAGAACAAATAAAGGTTTTTTTAGTTGACAAACAAATGCGACATATTTTTTTCCCACAATATTTGGCGCATAATTTTTAATGAATTTTTTGAACTGACGTGAGAAAAATGTATTCAGTTTATCTACTAATTTTTTTTTTGCGTTTTGAATCTTTTTTACTATGTTGTAATCAACCAATGGTTCAACTTTTAATGCACTTGTATTTAGTGATTGTATTTTTAGTTGCTGTGTTTCAAATTCGGACAAAAGTGTTTTAAAAATCTGCAATGGAATTTCCAGTTATATGTACTCCGTTTTGGATTCTTCGGTTTGGTATAAATATATACCTGATTGGTAAGATTATTGTAAATGTTGTCATTTCATTATGTATTTATTAATTCTATGTTCGTTGCGATGCCTGACTATCGAAAGCTTCGAGAAGGGGCGTAGCACAGCTGATATCGCTAATAGTTTATCCCGAACAAGTCGGCAGGCAACGTTCATGATAAAAACTCTACAAAATACTAGATACTAAAGATACTAGATTCTATAATATACTATATTAAGAAAGCTCGAAATACCAATGAGAGTTGTTATACAAATCGGAAAATATCTATGTCCATATTTCTTGCAGTCTTGTAAAAAACCTTTATAAGTACACTTGTGTTTAAGAAAGGTTACTTCGTGGGTGCCGTTTAAGGTTGTGCTCCCTGCATAAATAAAAAAAAAGCTTCTTAAGTTATTGATCATATATTTTTCTGAACATCCGATGACAATTAGGTCATTCACATACAAGAAAGCCTGGGAAGGTTCAATACCAGAAAAATCTAATTGTCATCATTCTGTAATATAAGGAAGTCGCGTGAAGCGATAGAAGCCATTGCTCTTAGAAAGGGAAGTTACATATTTTGATATAAGTTCTACTTGATAAAATACTGACATCAGAAAAGCTCTACCCAATTGGTCGGGAATGTCGTCTATTTTTGGTAGTCGAAATTTGTTACTTAACACCGTCTTTTGGTATCTTAATTTGGTAATGATTTTTTCTGTACCATATAATATACTGTTATATTCATTCATTCGGTTGTAAAAATTATTAGTTGATATCGACTCGGTTTCTGTTTCGAATAAGCAAAAAGTAAAAAGAATTTGCAATTTAAAGTTCGCGGGCCTAACGTTTCTGGCTAGTTCTGTTTTTCTTGAGTTGGCAGGACTGTTATGGGCCAACTAGGCCAAATTATATGTCAATGTCATTATCAGTTATATATTAACGCTTGTGTTTACAAACGACCAAAAGTATATTTCTCGACCTTTCAACCGAAAGCGCTCAATTTCTTGAAAAAAAAAAATTAGTTGCGTTGATGTGTTTAAACATTGCTTTCTGACTATCCCCTTTAGTTCTGGAGTAGGCTCGGGGTGACATGTCAGAAGGCAAAAGCTTTTTGTTTTTTTTTGTGCCTAAAACGCTATGCCGCTGTTGACGACTGTAGAAGACTGCCGACGAAAACGGTCGGGCAACAGAGAGGCAGATATTCGGAGGTTCCCTCTCTTTCTTTGTCTTATAATCTGCCTGCACTCGGCGCTCTCAGAGACAAATTTTGGCCGGTTCGTTATTTTATGCTCGGCTAGCGACTAACATTTCGGCCGAAAAATTTCGTGGAGCAGCAACATGTGAATGCCCTAATATTTTAGGAGCATTATTGTACTTCGGTAAAAAAATGAACTAATATTGTTTTATTGGATATAAAGTAAATTATTTGATTATAGTAAAATTAAGGAAATTGAATTTACTGTTATGTTAATAATGTAATGTAATGTTATGTTTACGGATATTATACATTACAATATAATTTTTGAATTTAGTTATAGAATTTAGAATTTTATAGATTTTATAGAATTTAGTCCGTTAAAATGTATTTCAAAACTTCAAAAATGAATATTGTATTTTTTACTCAAGAAGTAAAAATTATATAGTCGGATATTTTTCGCTTTTGAAAGGGTATAAGTGCTGTGGCACGCACTTTATTTTCGGAACTGAAGTGTTTTTTTTCGATTCCTTCCAATCGGTCAAACTGGTAACAAGGAATATTATTCGTCTAAAAAGACCAGAATTATTGGCCAACAACTTTTGGTTGTTGTTGTTTTACGATTATGCACCCTCTCACTCTGCACTCGTTCTTCGTGACGATTTCGCAAAAAATTCAACGCATATCGATCCGCACATTATTCGCCTGATTTGGTTCCGTGTGACTTCTGCCTATTCCCAAAGGCGTTCCGGGGAACCCGTTTCGAGTCGATTAAGGAGGTAAAAGCTGAATCGAAGAAGGCGCTGATGGCTATACCAGAAAGGGACTACTTGCCATGTTTCGAGGATTTAAGAAACGTTGGCATAAGTGTATTTTATCGGGAGGGGATTACGTTTAAGGGGATTTTAGAAGAACAAATAAAGGTTTTTTTAGTTGACAAACAAATGCGACATATTTTTTTCCCACAATATTTGGCGCATAATTTTTAATGAATTTTTTGAACTGACGTGAGAAAAATGTATTCAGTTTATCTACTAATTTTTTTTTTGCGTTTTGAATCTTTTTTACTATGTTGTAATCAACCAATGGTTCAACTTTTAATGCACTTGTATTTAGTGATTGTATTTTTAGTTGCTGTGTATCAAATTCGGACAAAAGTGTTTTAAAAATCTGCAATGGAATTTCCAGTTATATGTACTCCGTTTTGGATTCTTCGGTTTGGTATAAATATATACCTGATTGGTAAGATTATTGTAAATGTTGTCATTTCATTATGTATTTATTAATTATATGTTCGTTGCGATGCCTGACTATCGAAAGCTACGAGAAGGGGCGTAGCACAGCTGATATCGCTAATAGTTTATCCCGAACAAGTCGGCAGGCAACGTTCATGCTAAAAACTCTACAAAATACTAGATACTAAAGATACTAGATTCTATAATATACTATATTAAGAAAGCTCGAAATACCAATGAGAGTTGTTATACAAATCGGAAAATATCTATGTCCATATTTCTTGCAGTCTTGTAAAAAACCTTTATAAGTACACTTGTGTTTAAGAAAGGTTACTTCGTGGGTGCCGTTTAAGGTTGTGCTCCCTGCATAAATAAAAAAAAAGCTTCTTAAGTTATTGATCATATATTTTTCTGAACATCCGATGACAATTAGGTCATTCACATACAAGAAAGCCTGGGAAGGTTCAATACCAGAAAAATCTAATTGTCATCATTCTGTAATATAAGGAAGTCGCGTGAAGCGATAGAAGCCATTGCTCTTAGAAAGGGAAGTTACATATTTTGATATAAGTTCTACTTGATAAAATACTGACATCAGAAAAGCTCTACCCAATTGGTCGGGAATGTCGTCTATTTTTGGTAGTCGAAATTTGTTACTTAACACCGTCTTTTGGTATCTTAATTTGGTAATGATTTTTTCTGTACCATATAATATACTGTTATATTCATTCATTCGGTTGTAAAAATTATTAGTTGATATCGACTCGGTTTCTGTTTCGAATAAGCAAAAAGTAAAAAGAATTTGCAATTTAAAGTTCGCGGGCCTAACGTTTCTGGCTAGTTCTGTTTTTCTTGAGTTGGCAGGACTGTTATGGGCCAACTAGGCCAAATTATATGTCAATGTCATTATCAGTTATATATTAACGCTTGTGTTTACAAACGACCAAAAGTATATTTCTCGAGCTGATATCGCTAATAGTTTATCCCGAACAAGTCGGCAGGCAACGTTCATGCTAAAAACTCTACAAAATACTAGATACTAAAGATACTAGATTCTATAATATACTATATTAAGAAAGCTCGAAATACCAATGAGAGTTGGTTACATTGTTGAATTGAAATGGTCTTGGAATAAACGCACAATTTACACAGATAACTGATAAATCCAGTGGGCTCGCGAAGTTGCATATACACTCCTGCTCTGTGAGCAAAAAGTAATTTTTCAGACAACTTTGGATCTTGTTGGTATCTTGTGATTACATCACAGGATAATAATAAGATAATAAAGGTTATCGGGTTTCAATATCAGCCAATCGTTTTCTGGTTTTAAATCTATTTGACAATTGCATTTATTTTATGAAATCTTCACCTAATATTCCATTACAGCAGAGGTCTGCACACACATACATCTCTGTTTTGCACTGAGAATCTCTGCCGCAGCAGCAATAAAGCGCGCCGAAGCTGAGAAAAAAAAGACCCGAAGACCCATGCCGAAGTCATACGAACATCTACGTTATATGGGCAGAACAATTCCCTATGTTCACTTAATAGGACGCTGCCGAACGCTGTTGTGAAAAAAATGTTGTGGGGTATGAAGATTTAAAATTTTGTTTGGTATTTGTTGACATTATATCATTATTTATTTCTTTTCTACAGTCGATAAAAAAAAGGAACAAATTAATTTGTTCAATTTAAGGCCAGAACTGGAGTAGATATTGTTTAAGTGTACATATTAAATATATATAACCCCATTATAATTTATAGTATATACCAAGAACAGCATTATAATGCTTTTGTTTTCTGGTAACACTAAAACGTGAACCACGCGGTTTATCTCTCTCCTTTTTCTGATCTCGTAAGCTGTGGTGGCGTGTAAAATAAATGAAACCATAATTAAATACGAAATACGCTGAGTTCGTCATTTAAACTTGGAATCCCAAAAGTACAGTTAAATTTTTATTCCATTATTGTGCTTTTTAAACATTTTTTGATGATAAATAAATAAATTATCACATCTGCATAGAGTTTTAATGTGTAAGTTATATTACAATCTATTTAGGGACACTTACCCAATTTGTGACGATCCTGCCTGACGGCTAGACCGCCACAATACTTGTATATATATATAAGCAGTAGTTATCTAAGTTGGGCATTGTTGCTATTAGCACGTAAGAGATATAAAATGAAGGTTTATGATTTAGTAAGTGGAAAGCGAACATATGTATTTTGGGTGCAAAACGAAAATAGGTCAAGTGTGGTTCCGCACCATCCGCCCGAGGTGGCAACCATAGGGAAAAATACTAGAAAATAGAGAAAATACCAAACCGATCTGGCAAGGAAAAGGGATGAGAGGGCCACACGGCGGTTTCCGGGCTCTCTCTGCTCTGTTACCTCGAGGCGAACGGTCGCGCACGCGGACGAAAAAACAAACAAACACGCGGGAAAGAAAGCACGGTCGGTAGGAAACAAGGTTAGTGAACCGATTACACAGCGCAGTGAAACCCAAGAGCAACTAAACACGATAAATAAAACTGAGTGAACTTATACGAAAGGAAAGGACAAGCCGTGTTGATATACATATTGGGTTTTGTTGGGTGGTGTTCTGTAACCTCATAGGTCCTGGAACACCCCTCTCCCCCCTCGATTGGATAGATGCGGAATCTCCGGAATAATTGATCAAATATCATCGTTCGCTCCGCGAATATTACTCTCTAGCCCTAGGTCTCAGTGACTTTACAAATTTCTTGTAAAAGGACCTCTGCAATCGACTGTGAGTTATATCCTGAAGAGAGCATCCTTACAAGTGGCGCCCGAACAGGGACATTGAGGCTAGCTAGAGCAACACCAAGGTTGCCTAAAGACCCACTAAGATAAAGATCTTTATCCCGAAGGATCGTGCCACTGCCGAGCGTTACTAACCTTTAGAGTGAAGAATTCGCGCACCGCAATAAACTATGGCTAACCCGAAGGAGTCCGACGGCGAATACGAAGAAGCCGATTCGATTGTAAACCCAGGCGTAGGAGTAGAATTAGCCGCTCTAGCACTCGAGTTCGGGTTTAGCGCCGACGGCACCGAAGCAGAAACACAGAAGGCATTCGCTACACTCGTGAGCACAGGATCGTTTCCAAAGTCGGTGTGGGAACGACTCGCTCAACTACAGGAGCAGTATAGCTCGGAAGCTGCAACTCTGAACCCACTAGGAGACGACACAGGCTTTATGCCGGGAGCCAAGATGACCCAAGTTAGCCAGAGTCAGGTCCCGCATTTCGCCGGCTACACCTCTCCCGGAAGACTGACAAGCCATCGAGGGGTCCATCCCGACACGTCACGAGATTTCATCGTCCCGTCCGTCGGAAACCACGGCGGACCGAAACCGCCCGAGTCAGAAGTTTCACTCAACGTCACTCACACAAATGGAATCTACGATTCGACGGAGCGTCAGACCCGCTGACCTTGATCGCCGAACTGGAGGAGAAAATAGCAACATATGGAATTAACTAGGAGGATGTACCCCGCGCCATGTCAGAGATTTTTGAAGGTAGAGCAGCACGATGGTTCCGCACGAGCCACTTACAGACAGCTACGCGGGCGGAGTTTCGGGCCGAGCTCTTAGGTTTCTTCCTGCCCCCCCATTACTTCAAGCGACTAGGGGACGCGATCCGAGCCCATATCCAGGGAGTGGATGAGACATTTAAGGAGTACTTGGTCGAGATAAGGACCAAGATGCAGCAAGCCGGATACCAAAAGGAGGAAGAACTTTATCGGATCTATGAAAATATGGCACCAGAATATCGTCTGTGTATAAGACGCCACGAGTTCGAGACGCTGGAACAATTAACCCGCATAGCGACGGAATACGAAAGTGTGAGACAGCTGACGTCGAGTCGCGCAGGCATTCCTAGCATGAGGGCTACGGACCGGGATAAGACCAACCCTCGTCGGACGCCGAGCCCCTTTCGGAGCCCAGAGGTACCAATACAAGGAGGGAATGCAACTCATCAAATGATCAGAAAGCCCCTATCGAACATCGACGTACAGCGAGCTTGTAGCAGGTGCGGGGAGAAATCGGCTACTTTAGACGGGGTTGTACTAATGCACGCCTGACCTTTTGTTGGGACTGTGGTCGTAGGAATATATTGACTGTCGATTGTTGTCGCCGAGATACCCCGGGAAACGGACAACGTCTTCGCCGAGATGCGGGCGCAGCGAAGGCGAGCGAAGTAGTATTAAGGATAAGCAACGGCCTGATCACTGCTACCGTGCAGATCGGAGGCCAATGGGTGGACGCCACGGTGTATACGGGAGCGTCGAGGAGCTTTGCGAGCGAAGGGTACGTTCGTATGGTAGCGAGACCGGAGGAGATGCAAGAGATCTTCACTATAGCGCTAGCTGATCGGTCAAGCATGGCAGTGAAGAAGCTGTGGCGTACTCGCGTGGAATTAGCTGGCACGCGAGTGTGGATGCCATTCTTGGTGATGCCAACCATGTTGGATAGCGTGATATTAGGTATGGACTTCTTGGTGGCGATGGGAACACAGATACAGAGCGGAGAAGCCACCTTAAAGGTAAAATTGAGCCCGTCGGCGGAAGACCCCCGACTGCGGCCAAGTAAAGTCAATCGGATGTCGTCAGAGGATACGAGCCCGGAAGTACTCGAAGGAAGGAGTACGACGGTTCTAGGAAAGCAGGAATCCGACGATAAGGACACTATGTATACAGAGCAGAGTGAGGTCCCCGCCTACAACCGGATCATGCGTCAGATGACCCCATCAGGAGAACGAAAGAACGACCACGGAGGAGACGAGATCAGGAGGTACGACGAACCGGGAAGAGCCTTGGGCGACTTTCGGCCGGACGAAATCGACGAAGCAGGGGATGGAGAACTAATGACGGAAGAGGATGACCTAAGACCCGACCAGCGGGAATTTATCACCCGGGAGTTGACGCTTTTCAAGGAGCTTCAAGGTGTATCACACGTGGCGGAGCATCGGATTATAATGCGAGACGATAAACCCTTGAAACAAAGGTACTACCCAAGGAATCCGGCAATGCAGAGCGAGATCGACGCCCAAGTAAACGAACTACTCCGAGAAGACGCCATCGAACCTTCACGGAGTCCGCATAGCGCACCCATAGTGTTGATCAAAAAGAAGACGGGTAAATGGCGCATGTGTGTTGATTATAGATTGAACGCTCACTCAGTGCCCGACGCGTACATCGTCCCCAGGATCAACCACATCCTGGAAAAACTACGTCAAGCCCCACACACTTCGACACGGTTATTGGCAAATACCCAGGCCAAGGATAGCCGTCAATTCACGGCCTTCACCGTTTCGGCCTATACCAGTGGAAGGTCATGCCCTTCGGACTTCACTCGGCCAGCGCAACCTCCCAGCGCGCCTTGGATAGCGTGATTGGTGCGGACATGGAGCCGTTCGCCTATTTGGACGATATCATCGTTATAGGCGCCACGGAGGAACAACATTTGGCCAATCTGGGCGAAGTCTTCCGTAGGCTGCGGAGGGCGAACCTGAAGGTGAACCCAAAGGGGTGCGCGTTCTTCAGGCGGAGGTTAGTTTAGGCCACGTGAGTAGCGCCGAAGGAGTCCAGACTGACCCGGAGAAAGTGACGGCCATTACCAACCTTAAGTCCCCTATCTGTCTCAAGGAGCTCCGACAGTGGCTAGGCATGGCCTCTTGGTATCGCCGGTTCGTTCCTAACTTCGCAACCGTGGTACAACCAATGACTGCCCTGTTGTAGAAAGGCTGGAAGTGGGCATGGGGTCCCGAGCAACAAAACGCGCTAGAAGAGGTAAAAAGAAGGTTAACCACCGCCCCAGTGCTAGGATGCCTTGACTTCGTGTCGCAAGATGGGCGCTGGAGCTGCAACAGTTCCAGTTCGACGTGCGGTACCGTCGAGGCAAATTGAACGTGGTGGCGGACGCGTTATCTCGGCAACCCTGTGGAGTCTTGCAACAGATGGCCGAAGTGGACACACCCTGTAAATGGATTCCGAAAAGTTCTCAGACTACATGGAAAATGGACAACTATACCGGAATTTGGGACACAGAGCTGATGACGAGTACTACTTTCCCTGCAAACTGTGTGTCCCTAGTTCAAATAGAGTCCGAGTCCTCCAAGAATGCCACGACGCGCCCACGGCTGGACATCTGGGCGTCCGAAAAACTGTTTCTCGACTATCTCAGAGGTATTTCTGGCCCGGCATGTTTAGAGACGCGAAGCGTTACGTCCAGCGCTGCGAGTCGTGCCAGAAGTTCAGAAGGCATTCCGGAAACGAATACTGGTCCGAGTCGGCATCCCTCGGAAGTTCGTCTGCGATAACGGTACTCAATTTACCAGCCGCTTCTTGAAAGAGTACTTCCACACGATAGGGGTAGAGATCCAATTTACTGCTCCATACTGTCCACTGGAGAACCCTACCGAGAGGACGAATCGGACGGTCAAGACGATGATAGCCCAACTCACCGAGGGAGACAAAAGTTCCTGGGACGAGCTATTAGCGGAAATAGCGCTCGCCATCTACGCAAGTGTATCGGACTCTACGGGATACAGTCCCGCCTTCCTGACGCAAGGACACGAGCCCAGACTCCCTACTATGTTATACGACGATCGGCGGAGATATCTTAGGACCCCGCAGGAAAAGCGCTCCCACTCAGAGGAATCTTCTATATTGTCGGATCCAACCTCCAACGTGCTTCCCAAGATCAAGCATGCCATTACAACCTTCGACGCCGTGAGTGGAGACCGAAGCTCGGTGACAAGGTGTGGCTACGCCAACATCCTCTCTCGAAGGCGGCCGAAGGTTTCGCCGCCAAATTGGCCCCCAAATATGACGGTCCCTACATCGTAATGAGGTTCATATCCCCTAACCTTTTTCTGTTGCG